CCTGGAAACACTTTATACAAAGTCTGGAAAGTGTTTGCCCTTCCCTGTTGGCTTAGGCTAACTTTTACATTTGGGAAGAACATCGTGAACCCTTTGTCCCCCTGTGGTTATCCTTCTCCCTTGGGGCTGCAGAGCAGACAGAGCTCTCTGGTGCAGCAGTTCTGGCTGTTTGACAGGTTTCTCTGTTTCACAGGTTCTGGTGTGGCCTTGATGTCTAACTTTGAGCAACTGCTGCGTGGGGTCTGGAAACCAGAGGCAAACGAGATTCTCCATATGTCCTTGTAAGTAGACAGCCTGGAAATCCTCTGTCAGACCACGAATGGAGTGTAAAGATCCATTCAGGGCTGGATTCAAACCTTCCAGCAAACATCTTTCTTTCCCTGCCAGCCCTACAAAGGCCAGTCTGTATGGCACAGTCCTCTTCACCCTGCAGCAGACTCACTGGCTCCCCATCTCTGAAGCCAACCTCATCTTCTTTTTCACCATGTTCATGATAGTTTGCAAGGTGAGTTTATAGCAGGTTTGCTGCTAAAAGGTGGCAGAACCAGAGAATGGGTACAGACCTAGTCTGGGGGGTGTTCACCTGCCTGAGCCACTTGCTGTGCCAGTAAATCCCAGGAAGGATCTGCTGGGAAATGAAAGACTAAATTCTCCATCCTGCAGGCAATATGGTAGGGGATCCTTGTGCCTAGAGTCCTGTAGCAGTAGGGGCTTTATCTGGAGCTGGTGGAATGCTCCTCACTGGGGAGTATTTCCTGGCTGGTGTGTGATCCTAACTCTCAGTTGCTCCCTGCAGGTTTTCATGACGGCGACTCACTCTCATGCCTCACCCTTTGCTCCTCTGGAAAACCTCATCTGCCCAGTTCTCTTTGGCACTGTCTCCAGTGCTCACTCAAGCCACCACCACGAGCACCACGGGGCCTCCCACGAGGTTTCCCACCCACCCCCTCCTCCTGCAAAATCTAAAGAGGAGTTAAACGAAGGCACAAGGAAACGGAAGGCAAAAAAAGCTGAATAAAAAAGCAACGACGCAGAAAATAGGCCAAGAAAATTCTTCCAGAGCTGAGTCTCCAAGCCACCTGTGACCTCCTTTATGCTCCAGTCCTTCTCTCTCAGTCTCCAGAGGAGAGGTGGAAGCCAGGACACTGCCAGGCCGGTCCCTGAATCTCGTTTTGCTCTCTGTGCTGCTGCTGCTTGCTTCTTGGTCTCTGCCTCTCTGTTCTGATGATGCTTTCAGGGATCTGTAGGTTTGTGCCAGGGTGAGAAGTGGGTGCCCGTTCCCAAGCTGTCAGCAATTCTGGTGCAGCGTTTTCAGTTGATGTAAAATCTTTCACTGTGTTTATTTATGGAGGGAATGGTTTGTGCTGCTGCAACTCCTAAGTTCCTTTGAGTTTTCACTGACCTTTTTTGATGTCTGCCAAAACAACAAACTATCAAGACACAGCCAGTGTGGAAATCAGATTTCATACTCAAGGAGGTTGAATGGCCTCATATGAGCCTGATCTGGTTTTTCCTAGCTCCCACATCTGCCATATCTCCAGGTAATGTGACATTTTAGATGCAATAAGGACATTGACTGGTGTCCAAGCCAAACTCCCTTTCTCTCCCCTCAGCTCCCTCTGACTCTGTTGGAACTTGCTTAACCAAGTCTGTGTTTGCAAGAGCTCTGAAGCTGTGAAATGCTCCCAGTGCCACGTGTTGGTGCTGTCACTACCCTTAGCTGTGTGTAGCATTGCTGCACCTTGTTATTAATAGTGTGTCCCACCTCAAACCTGATCCTGTTCAGCCAGGGGAGAAGCATAGCTCTGGTTTGTTTGTGACCCTGTGGGATACAAGAAGAGTGTGTGAGTGTAAGTATTTATTCCTATTTATTTATAATTGCCAGGGCACCTAAAAATCACGGACCCAAATCTGGCTTTTTTTAGATGTTGAATCTTTATATAGATGATTGGAACTTCTAATTCTGGTCCTGAGCCCACGGCGACGTGCTGGGGTGTGATTCTGGTGTGCTGAGGGACAGCCTGAACACTCTGCATGCAGGAAGGAATGTTCCCTAGATCCTAAGGCTGAGGTAGAAAGGCTGAAACTGTGGATTTCACAGCAGCTGATTAAAACTGCTTTAAAGGACTGATCAAAACACACCAGCTGAAGATATTGATGACCCTTTGTAGGTCCCTTTTGTCCAAGCCACTGGTCTGTGAATGTAGCTCGTGCCCAAGGAGTGGAGAAGGGTAGGAAATGCCTTGCATGGCTCAGGAGGAGTCTGTCAGCTCATTCATGTGCTGCTTAGTGAATTAACTGGCTTTTAGACTACTCTTAAGCTGCTCTTAGGAGTGATTTTGCTCTGAAGAGTGGCATCACCCAAGGGCTGGGATCACTGGTGGGAATGGCACACGTGGGGATGCAGCACTGGGTGCTCAGCTGAGCAGCATTTCCCATCCCTAGCAGTGAGGTTTGCTCTGGGAAGAGGAACACGAGGATTTCAGAGCAGTTTGTGTGTGTCTGTTCAAAACTGCAACTGATGGTTAGTTCAAGAAAAGATGTCCTTGTGCACAGCCAAGGAAAGCCAGTCCAAAAGGGCACGTGGTCTGTGGGCTTGGGGTTTGACAGTGCCTTAATTTTGTGAGTTTCCCTCCCCTTCAGTAGAAAACAGGATCCTGCCTGACAACTCAGCTGTCTGGTCCTGCAGATACTTGGTCTACTGAAACCTGCTGTATCACTAGCATGCACGAGACTCTTCAGTGTTTTATGAGATGTCTGATTCAAGGGCAAGTTTGTTTTATAAAAGCTGTCAACAAATAAACCTTGTGAAGTGACTCTTGATTGTCCAGTGGCACTCGAGGCAATCCGTGTGTTTCTTTTGCTCTTGTGTCCCAGAAGCCACACAGAAGCTCCTTGAGCTACTTAGAGCCTCCTTGACCTGATGACAAAATGAGAGTGAAGAGAGAGATCAGACTTTGTTTTGTCCTAAAGCTGTGCCTGAGCATGGAGGTAACATGGTGAAAGGTGTTTGTAGTGTTGTCCTCTGAGCAAACTTCCTGAGATGTCAGGGAGGGGAATAAGGAAACTGATTCCTTTGGCATTTATTCCAGTTATTCCTGTCTTTTGTCATTGTAAGAGGCAGGAAGACATTCACCTGAGGCTGGTGAACACACACACAGAGTTTTCCAGCATATTTATATGGGCTTTCAGTATTTAAAACTGAAAAAAAAATGCTCTGCAGGAGTGTGAATATTTATTGTATGTGGTTCTGTTCACTGCTGCTCTGCCCTCTGGATGCAGAGTCCTTACTCTTCTGCTTTGGACTGAGTCAAATCACAGCTTCCAACCAAGAGCAGACAAAATTATTCCAAGGGAGGTAAAAATGTAAGCTCTGTACATCTGCAGAGTACCTAGCTGGAATGGGATTAGTATTGGGAAGAGAACTGCCATAGGAGGAGTCACAAGTTCCATTTAGTGAAGCCTTTCCTAGTGAGAGAGTTGGAATCTGTCTTGAATTTCCATGGCTCAGCACTGGTACAATTCCAGTCTGGTGTCCTTCACCCCAGGATACAAAGATGGATCTTGCCAAAAGCACATTTTAAGCACTGCTGAGAGGACTTGGGGTTCTACAGGGCTGTTCCTTGACCTGCACACACACTTCCCTTCCTTCAGACTCTGCTCCAAACAGAATGGAAATGGTGCTGGGCTTTACCTAGAGGGATGGAGTCACTTCCATGGCAGAGATGGAAGTGATGAGGAAAACACACTGTCAACCTACCTACCTGGTGGTGCACTAAATGAGGACCTGCAATGGGCTATTTGTTTTCTGAGGGGTTTCAATTGTCTCCCCTAAGATTTAACTCTTAAAATGTTTGTCAATGCTCCTTAATTAATCAGAGCAATATGAGTTACATTGGAATGGGAGATTGAAAGTGTCTGTATGACCCAACAGTGGAAAAGAAGTTCAGTGCAAGCCTTATGCCCATTAAAACAACCCAACCCAACCCAAGAGGAAAGGGATTGGGATGTTTAGGTGGTTTAACCATTCTCCTCCCTGTGACACCCAGTTCAGTCTCACCATTTCGCTCAGGACCTGGATGGAACACAAGGAAGAGGCTGATGAGAGCAGGTTTTATGTGTCCTTTGAAGAATCCCAGGATGTCTGTGGAGCCTCAGGCTGTGCTGGCTGAGCAGAATGTTCCCAGCTCTCACCTCCACTGCAGCCCAGGGCAGAGAGGAGCATGCCAGGGCTTAGACTTCCAGGGACACACGTCATTCCCTCCAGAGATGTCCTGATCTGATAACTTCTGATACTAACTCGAGTGAGATGCAGCTAAATTTAGCAGTAGGTTTAATCCTCAAAGAGGCCCTGGGTGCCTGCTGGGAAAAGCAAGTGTCTGAGTTGCTGGTTCAGCATTTTGAGGGTGATTGACAGGTTTCCCTTTCCTGTTAGAGCCAAACCCAGAGCCTGCAGCTCTTTCATCCTGCCAGATCAGCCTCTCAGATAGGGAAAGCTCCACGGCACTGCTGTGTTGTCGAAAAAAACAACCCTAAACCCATAGGGTGATTTTACACAGAGCATTCATAATTCATCAGAGTAAACGAGGTAACAAAAAGGGGAGGCCAAGGCAAAGAATTCTGTACTGAGTTTATGAAAAAAAGGGCAAAGCACCAAGCCAGAGCCACCAGTGCTTCTGTTGTCCCTTTTTGAATGACACTGTGTACATTCTCCTACATTTTTTTCCAAAGAATAACCAAATTAGATGACCCAGTGAAGCAGAAAGACCCAGGGGGGAAAAGATGGATGTTACCTTGGCCATCTGAGCAGAACAGAAGTTGTTCCTTTCAACAAGTGCCAGGTGATTAACTGTCCAATGCATCTCTTCCTGCAGCCTGTTCCATGGTGCCATGAAAAGTTACAGGTTTGTGTGGTTCACAGCTTTGTTTGGGTCCTTAGCTGTTCCTGTTTGTGCTTCTTGTGCTCTTCATCAAAGGACCCACCTGGCTCCTCTAAGGCAAAATACAGGATGATATGGAAGGTAAGGCTGGAATAACATGGTATTTCCTACCACCTTACACACCCAACTTTTTGTAAAGATTTTCCCCTCAAGATATTTCAGTTCTTTGGCAAAATAATGAAGGAGAAATCAGAATAAACATCTGTAGAGGATTTTCTAGAAAGCTCACAAAGATGGTTTGGATTTGGTGTGAGTTCCTTCCATCTCTGCTAGGAAGAAAGGACATGGACAAGGGAAACCACTGGTACTGGAGAAATGATGCTGTTGCTACCAAATACACTAGGAGGGTTGATATTTGCCTCTTGAGGATGCTCTTACTATTGGCCTCAAGGGATGTGGTTGGTCCTGTGTGCTCACCCACCCTAAGGAAATGCCAGTTAAAGGGATTTGAATTTCATCAGGCATCAACACTCCTTGGTAAACACTCAGAAAATCACCTCCCAGCTAAGAATTTAATCCTTTTGTGGGCTGGAATGCAGCAAACTTGAGTGGCTGAGGCTCCTGGAAGAGGCAGCCAGGGAGAAAACCTGTTCCCTGCCATGCCAGAGCCCACGCTGCCACCCTGGCTCACAGTTGCTACTCACTTCACCTCTGTGATGACAGTTGTGACAAAAAGATGTTGATAGTGCTAAGATCAACATTCCCGAATACCTTGGAGTCTGCTCTCCCATTTGCACTTGTGCATTCGCATCTTTCACACATCATCCCCACGAAAAGTACCATTTATACTGTTTCCTCATCTGTTTCCTTGATGTTCCAAAAGCGAATTTGGGGAGGGAATTTTGTAGAGAGCTTGTTAGGAAGAGTCGGTGTGAGATAGCGATTCCATCTTAGCCTTAGGGGACAGGAAAGCTATAGCCCTGGAATGCAGGAAAACAGGTCTGATTTGTTTAGAGGCTTCAACATTTCTATAGCCTGAGGAAACACAGGATGTGCCTGGAAAAGGGTTGGTTGGTTTTGATTTGCAAATGCCAGCGAGTTCCCCAGAAAGCATCTCACACACACACTGCATTCCCAATCCTCCCAGCTTCTCAATGGAGCTGCCAAATCCTGCTGTTCCAAAAAAAACAGATCTGCAGGTTGGGAACTTCTGGTCCCACTGCAACCAACTGCCTGGATCTGAGCTGAGCTGATCTGCTCTGCCACTGACAAGGACTGGGGGAGCCAGTGACAGGTTGAT